CATGGGCTGTGCGGTCTGTGGGCTCTGTGCGGTCCGTGGGGTCCGTGGGGTCTGTGGGGTCTGTGCGGCCCGTGGGGTTTGCAGGCTGTGGGGTCCGTGAGCTGTGCAATCCGTGGGGTTTGCAGTCCGTGGGGTCCGTGGGCTGTGCAATCCGTGGGGTTTGCAGTCCGTGGGGTCCGTGGGCTGTGCGGTCCGTGGGGTTTGCAGTCCGTGGGGTCCGTGGGCTGTGCGGTCCGTGGGGTTTGCAGTCCGTGGGGTCCGTGGGCTGTGCAATCCGTGGGGTTTGCAGTCCGTGGGGTCCGTGGGCTGTGCGCTCCGTGGGCCGTGCTCTCCCCGGCCGTTTCCTACCGCTGCGGGAAACTTTGTTTCCACGACGAGCGGAGTTTCCTTCTCCACCCCCTCTCTCTCTCGGCGGTGCCTCTTGGCATCCCGCGAGTTTTGGGGGAGCAATCAGCAGCTTGGGTGTGCTGAGAGATTTTAGGGGCGTGGAATTTTCCACGCGAGTTTTTTTTATTCCTTTTTTTTTTATTCCTTTTTTCCTTTTTTGTTTTTCCTTCTCAGCGCTCCTCAATGCTGATTGTTCTTCCATCTGCAAACACTTCGTTCCCGCTCACCCCCCCACCCCGGGCAAGCCGATAATAGCCTAATGTGCTGGAAAAAGTATCTGCAGTTTAATCAGTTATTTGTATCAGAATTTAGACAACTCGGTTCCGATTAAACGTCGATAACTTTCCTCTCTCATTCATGGTAGATAGAGCCACGTGTCTGATTTTAAGCTCTTTGGGGCTAATCGCTTTATCGGGCCATTTACTGGTGATTACTACTGAGTATCTACGATGTTCCGCCCCGTTTTAGCCGGCAGATTTGTAAATCGGGGGGAGTAATCGCGGCCGGAACCGTGGGCAGGGCTGGTAAATAAAGGCGGCAGATGGTTCTGGTGTGCGTTCACCGCGTTTGAATCAGCGCCCCTCGATTCCCCGTCGGTGCTTTCACTTGGTATAAAACACAGGGAAATCATCTTCACCCTCCTCCTGCTGCTGCTGATTGAGTTCATGATCCTTCCCTTCCCACGTGGATATAAACTACCGCCTTTATTTAAATATTGTGACTCTTAATAATAGCCTTATTGAAATAATCAGCACTTGGCTTGAAAAAGACAAGAGGCAAAACAAAAAGCCACGGGTTTAGAAAACACAATCTACAGTTTGTTAACAAAACAACAAACAATTCTAACGTAGATATATTTCTGTTAAAAACAAACAAACAAACAATTCTAACGTAGATATATTTTTGTTAAGAACAATCAAACAAACAATTCTAACGTAGATATATTTTTGTTAAGAACAATCAAACAAACAATTCTAACGTAGATATATTTCTGTTGAAAACAAACAAACAAACAATTCTAACGTAGATACATTTTTGTTAAAAACAAACCAACAATTCTAACGTAGATATATTTTTGTTAAGAACAAACCAACAAACAAACAATTCTAACGTAGATATATTTTTGTTAAAAACAAACCAACAAACAATTCTAACGTAGATATATTTTTGTTAAAAACAAACCAACAATTCTAACGTAGATATATTTCTGTTAAAAACAAACAAACAAACAATTCTAACGTAGATACATTTTTGTTAAAAACAAACCAACAATTCTAACGTAGATATATTTTTGTTAAAAACCAACAAACAATTCGAACGTAGATATATTTTTGTTAAAACCAAACAAACTATCAATTCTAATGTAGATATATTTTTGTTAAAAACAAACAACCAAACAATTCTAACGTAGATATATTTTTGTTAAAAACAATCAAACAAACAATTCTAACGTAGATACGTTTTTGTTAAAAACAAACCAACAATTCTAACGTAGATATATTTTTGTTAAAAACAAACAAACAATTCTAACGTAGATACATTTTTGTTAAAAACAAACCAACAATTCTAACGTAGATATATTTTTGTTAAAAGCAAATAAACGATTCTAACGTAGATATATTTTTGTTAAAAACCAACAAACAAACAATTCTAACGTAGATATATTTTTGTTAAAAACAACCCAACAATTCTAACGTAGATTAATTTTTTTCCTCCTAGGTTTTACCAAGAGGACAGTTTAACTCTCGTTCATCAGTCATAACACCTCCCCCATCAGAAACTGTTTGATCTGAGAGGAAAAACAAACCCAACCAAGCTGTGACAAATGGACAATATGTCTATTACCAACACGCCGACAAGCAACGACGCCTGCCTGAGCATCGTCCACAGCTTGATGTGCCATCGACAGGGCGGGGAGAGCGAGACCTTCGCCAAGCGCGCCATCGAGAGCCTGGTCAAGAAGCTGAAGGAGAAGAAGGACGAGTTGGACTCGCTGATCACGGCCATCACCACCAACGGCGCCCACCCCAGCAAGTGCGTGACCATCCAGAGGACGCTGGATGGGAGGCTTCAGGTTGGAAAAAACAAAACAAACCTTTCCATCAGCAGAACGATTGACGTTCTAATTGTAAATTGTAAATTCCCTTCCCATCAGCACAACGATTGGCGTTCTAATTGTAAATTGTAAATAATTCCCTCCGGTTTTCCTCCTCGTCTGGGGCGAGGCTCCTTCACGCCCCCTTTTATTTTTGTTTGGGTTTTTTTTTTGTTTGTTTGCTTGTTGTTTTTTTTTTAAACTCAAGAATCACCGACATTTATTTATTTATTTATTTATTTATTTATTTATTTACTTAGTCCCTTTTTTGTTTTAAAACCTATAAATGTCAATATTTTGGGGGACATTCACCCCCCTCCCAACTTTCTCCTTCTCCGCCGACTACCTGGAGCGAACCAGAACAATCAGCTCCCGACTTGTCGATTATTTCCCCTTTCAGGTGGCCGGTCGCAAGGGGTTCCCCCACGTCATCTACGCCCGGCTCTGGCGGTGGCCCGACCTGCACAAGAACGAGCTCAAGCACGTGAAATACTGCCAGTACGCCTTCGACCTCAAGTGCGACAGCGTCTGCGTCAACCCCTACCATTATGAGCGGGTGGTATCGCCCGGCATCGGTAAGTTGGGCCTCGGTTTCATCTACCACAGGGGGCTTGAAGATTTTTGTGTTTAACCCTCCATAACCCCCCCTTTATTTTTGTTTTCTTTCTTGTCTTTAAAGATCTATCAGGGCTGACACTACAGAGTTCTGGTGAGTAGTTCTGATTGCTGCTGATGATGCGTTTCTGCGGGCTCACACCGCGTCACACCCCGCAGAGTTTTGTTCCTGTGTCTCTCTCATGCCTTTGTCCCCCCCTGGGTTTATCAGAGTATCAGAATTACTCTGTAAATTGCCCAGGTAGCACGTGGAAGGCAGGTGCTGATGAATTCCTCGAGCGGAGGCTTCGGCGTTCTCTTTTCACGTTACAAAAGCCAAAAAAAAAAAACACCCAAAAAAACCCCCCCCAGAGACCTCAGTGCTGATTGCTGCTGATTAATACAAAAAAAAGCTGCGTGCACCTGTGGAATGTTAATGAGTGGAATATCAGCTAATGGAACTGGGAATAGTAACAAATGCTTACAGTTTAACTAGTAGCTGAAGAGGAAAATAATAAATTACAGAGTAGCTTTGTGGGCTCTTCGAGCGCCGATTTAACGTTTCCACTCGATCCTCGGGTGGGAGTTGCTTACAAAATTACTGCTGTGCTGATGAATTACGTTTTTCACGGGTTGGGGGGGCTTTAGGTGTGTTCTTGCTCCTGCACTTGAGGATGGGGCTCATCAGCTGCTGCCTCAGCATTCACTGACGAAAAGGGGTGGTTTTATTAACCGGGAGGCGAAACGCTGTTGAAATCTACCGCCTGTGGTAGATTCCTCCAAATTCCACCCCCCTGCCCTGCTGTTTGTTGGTGCTGTTGGCACTAATGGCTTGAAGATTGTTTTTGTGTTGCCCCCCCAGCTCCCTCCAGCATGCTGGTGAAGGACGAGTACGTCCACGACTACGAGGGGCAGCCGTCGCTCAGCTCGGCCGAGGGTCACTCCGTGCAGACCATCCAGCACCCGCCCAGCAACCGGCCATCGACGGAGCCTTACAGCGCCCCGGGGGCCCTGCTGGCCCCCAGCGAGGCCAGCACCACCAGCACCACCAACTTCCCCAACATTCCCGTGGCCTCCACAAGTAAGATCGTCGTAGCTCGCGCTCGTTTGTAGCTTTTAGTTCGAGTTCTCGGGGCGTTAATTGGTTGAGAGCCGCCAGCGTGCTGGTGAAACCTTGCTGATTGATTTAGTGAGCTGAGCTGAAGCCTGTTGGAGGTTAAATCTAATGTTGATTGGGGAGAGAAAAAAAACAAACACAAAAAGACAACCCAGCAGCTTTCTGAGGAAGGAGTCCGGTGATTAAAAATATAATCAGAAATAATCAAATCCTGCTTTGGAGGAGAGTGTCCCCCTTAGGGAGAGCGGTTCAAACGTGCTGATTAAGCAGCTACTGTTAACCCAGTAAATCTCCTGGCGCCTCTTCTTTCCTTTCTGACCCCGAGGAGTCAAAAATTAACCCCACGCAGGGCGGTTTTGGCCGCAGGTGGCGGGTGGAAAGGCGAACCACCAAACTATCAGCAGAGCCCCTCTCGGGTCGCCGGAACGCTCACGAATAAGGGAGTGTGTTCTTTCACCAGGTCAACCTACCAGTCTATTGACAGGTAGCCATAGTGATGGCCTCTTACAGATTGCTGCAGGGCCTCAGCCAGGAGCTCAGCAGAATGGCTTTGCGGCCCAACCAGCAACTTACCACCACAGTGAGTATTTCACCGGCGTCGTTCTCTCTAAAATAATCAGTTCCCGAACGTTCAGGACAAACAGAGGCATCAGGAAGGGGGAGAGATCCCTTAAAAAACCAACCCCCTGCTGCTCTCTCTCTCTTTCTTGTCTCTCTCTTTTCCCTGTAGATAGCACCACGACCTGGACCGGCAGCCGGACGGCCGCTTACACGCCCACCATCCCGCACCATCAGAACGGCCACCTGCAGCACCACCCGCCCATGCACCCCGGCCACTACTGTAAGCTCCTCGGGGGGGGGGGAGGGGTTGGTCAGGCTCTCCCCCTTATCAGAATATAAAATACATGTGCTGATAGTCCGTTCTGATAGAGGTGCCCTCCGGTTTCGGCGTTTCTGATGGCTTGTTGTGAAAGCTGCTGCTTACTTCTGATAAACTACCTCGGAGTGCTTCCTCCCTGCTGCCTCTAAGGCACCTGTCAGTTCCCAAAGCGCAGAGAGGAGAATCTGACTCGTATCGACACTTTTATTTTCCCTTTAGAAAATGAGTTCTCTGGGTTTTTTTTTTTCCATCAGAAAGTTTCTTCTTTTTTTCCCTTTTATTTGTAAATTTTTCCTGTTTATTTGTAAAACAAAGTGACATGTTTTCTCTTCAAAGGGCCGGTTCACAACGAGCTCGCATTCCAGCCTCCCATCTCCAATCACCCCGGTGAGTAAATCGCTGATAGTCTGAACTCAACGTGGAGCTAAATTGCGTTTCGCTGCTTTTAGTACCTCTCCCACCCTTTTTTTACTGATTAAAGGACAAACCTTGGTGGAAGGCTGGTGGAAGGGGGGGGTGGGAATGGGATGAGCTTTAAGCTCCCATCCAGCCCCGAACGAGCCTGTAATTCCGGCATTTTCTTTTCTGATTACGACCGCTCCAGCTCCGGAGTACTGGTGTTCCATCGCCTACTTCGAGATGGACGTGCAGGTGGGGGAGACGTTCAAGGTCCCTTCCAGCTGCCCCATCGTCACCGTGGACGGTTACGTCGATCCCTCGGGGGGTGACCGCTTCTGCCTGGGCCAGCTGTCCAACGTGCACCGAACAGAGGCCATCGAGAGAGCGAGGTAATTCCGTAGATAAGCGCTGATTACCGCCCGAACCATCAGCTGGGGGGATTCCCTCATTGCCAATCCCTCCCCTCTCCCTGCAGGTTGCACATAGGCAAGGGGGTGCAGCTGGAGTGCAAGGGGGAAGGCGACGTGTGGGTGCGGTGCCTGAGCGACCACGCCGTGTTCGTGCAGAGCTACTACCTGGACCGGGAGGCGGGGCGCGCCCCGGGCGACGCCGTGCACAAGATCTACCCCAGCGCCTACATCAAGGTGGGGGCTGCAGTGCTGATGATTTTTTTGGGGTGGGTGTGTCGAGCTCCCGAGCGTTTCGCCGTGAAAATCGAGGAGCGCTCGTTGGGTGTTTTTCATCAGCAGCGCTGTTTGTGTTCTGATTAAAATCAACTGCCAGGATTTTGTTTTTTTAACGACGTTCTGGTGGTTTCTTTTCCCCCAAAACAAGCGTAAAATAAGTATAAAATTAGTCAAATCCGCGGAAGCGATCCGTAGATCAGGGGGGAGAGCTCTACGCAAACAAAACATTCTGATGAATTTCTCGCCAGGGCAGAAGCAGATTTTAAACTTTTCATTTTGGGCTCGTCAAACAAACAAACAAACAAACAAACAAAATAACGGGTCGGGTGTTAAACTGCTCGGAGCTTGTGGTGGTGGGGGTTGGTGGTTTTTAATTGCTGGTTGAAGTTGCTCGGTGAAGGTGAGAGAAACCCCACCAACCTCTCTAGGATGAGGGCAGGGGTTCCTGAGCGTTAATTAACGGTAGATGGTGATTAGTGATCGCAGAGATAACGCTGAAACCTGGCACCTTCAGGCCTGTCGGTTGCTGATGTTTCTACTGACTAGACCAGCATTATCTATATTATCTATATTATCATCTATTTACCTTGAGGTTTTTCCTTTTTAACTTCACATGCCTCTATAAAAGGATCGTTTCTAATCAGCTGGCTCCATCAGTCCTGCCCCCTCTCAGCCATTCCCTGTTTCCCCCCCCTGGCAGGTGTTCGACCTGCGGCAGTGCCACCGCCAGATGCAGCAACAAGCAGCCACCGCCCAGGCCGCCGCCGCCGCCCAGGCCGCCGCCGTGGCCGGCAACATCCCCGGGCCGGGCTCCGTGGGGGGCATCGCCCCCGCCATCAGTAAGTACCTCCTTCCCTCTGCTCTCCCCCCCAAAAAAAAATCAGCTCCCTGCGGTTTTTTTTCCCGGGATTCAGCTGGGATGTTGGGAAGGGATTGTTGGCCGGGAGGGCGATGAGGCCCTGGCAGAGACGCTGATGAGAACACGAGCAGGGGCGATGAGAACACGAGCAGGGGCGATGAGAACACGAGCAGGGACGATGAGAACACGAGCAGGGA